AAAAGTTTCTACAACCAAGAATATATGCAGTAAAAAATTTAAAAAAAAACCAAAAGATGAAAAATACACAAATAACCTGTGTCAAAGCCGAACATTCAACATATTTTACAGCTTTAAGCTCCTTCGCCAATCTTTCACCTAATTCAAAGGAAATAGGCCGCTGCTTATTTTTTGCCAATTTCTCAATAGACTGAGGATCATCTCTAAGATCGATTTGTGTACCTACCAACAAAAACGGTGTTTTCGCACAATGATGCTGAATTTCCGGGACCCACTGAAAAAAATTAACATGCAGGACTCAGTGAGCAAGTAATATCATTATACTAACTGGTTTACTTATGTGCCACAGCCAGAAAAACCTCTAAAATTGGCGAATTACCATTTCTTCATCCGCTAGAAGACACAATTATGTCAATCATTGTCTGAGATAAAAACTAAAAAAAACACAGAAATTTTAATGGTAGACACTAAAGAACTCTTTGTAAGGGAATGTTATCAATGAACAGGGGGCAGCACCTGACTAAAATAAGGATAAAAGTTAGTGAGGCCGCAGCACAGCTCAAATGCAACTAAGACTTACCTTATTTTGAAACTAACTTTCAGCAGCACAGGAAAACAAACCTTTTCTCTAACATTTTCAAAAGATGCAGGTGCTATTACTGAAAAACAAACGAGAAAAACATCGGTTTGGGGATAGGACAACGGTCGAAGCCTATCATAATCTTCCTGACCTGCTGTATCAAATAACCCGAGTGTGTACGGTTCTCCTCCAATCATAACAGTTACCTGTAAAAAACCTATACCAGTGAACCAATCAATTTTATAAGGAACTGAAGGAAATAACGGGCATGCGAAGTCACTGAAAGGATAATGATAAAATATACAACATTGATGCTTCCTGCTTTAAAACTCATTTGCAACCTCAGAAAAAACTAATTTCAGCAAAAAATTAGCCTTCGGATTACCAAGAACAATAAAGAAGTAAAGCAAAAGAAGGACAATTGACCATTATCTGTATATAGGTAATCCCCAATAGTGTTTTTGATTTGAATATGAAATATTTACTTCATATACAAACTGTTACAATCAAAGCCTGAAGAAAATTTTCGGAACTCACTAAATGAAATTAGAAAAAAAAAAACTTACTGCATAGTTATCGAAAACTGTCGGTACGTATTCACTAGGAAATTTATTCGTAGTGTATGAAATCAGTAGACACGTTTTACCGACGGCGCCGTCGCCTACAACCACACATTTGATGGTCTGCATGAAAATTCAACGCTCTGAAACAAAGAATTTTTGTATAAGATTCACAAAAATCTAAAAACAAATAGAACATAGCATCACCCTATCAAACGACGCCGAAACAAAAGCAACTCTTCTAAACACAACCGCAAAACTAAACGGTATAAAAAAGTTAAAATTTAAATTACAAGTCCTCTTCAACAATCACAGGTCCCGCCACCTGACCCAGTAATATTTATTAAAATATCCTCGAAAACCATCCAAGCGTCTACCACCGCTACTTAATGATCATCAGATCACCTTCGGCAAACCCGTCAGCTATAAAATGTCTAAAAGCTCTTACTAGACAAACACGTAAAAAAAAAAAAATAAAAAAATAAAAAAGAAATAAAAAAAACCTCCAGAAAAACCACCAAAAATCATCGGCGCGCTTTGATACGAATTAAAAGATTAATCAATTTTATGAAAATGGTAAGAGATAACTAGGAAACCCTGGAGTTGTTCAAAGTAAATTTTATCATTTTTATTTTATTTCATTTTCAAGGCAAACTGGTAACAACTTCCAAACATTTTCACTGAAAATCAATAAAATCTCAGATTACACAAGGAAAAAAATTAAAGAAAAAAAAACAAACTCAGCAAATCCTAAAAACTTCTACACGAAAAATTTTAAACAAGAAAAAAACAAAAACAAAATACAAGAAACATACGTACATGCATTCCAAATATATACAAAGTGAAAATCTCACCATCTAAGCTTCAAAATTCTATGGTAAATGGAATAAACGAAATGGATAACGCGAACAAAACGAGGATAAGTCAGTTTTAAAAAAAAATACTTCAAATAATGAATAAGTCAGTAAAACTGCAAGCATTGTAAGACAAGAACAAGAATAAAACAATACTTATGTAATAATCGAATCCAAACTAAAAAAATTTACTGAAATACGACGACAATGAGAAATGGCTATTAACAAGCGCAAAAATGGCAGACAGCACGATGTCTTACATGCACAACAGCATGAACACATGAACTCCATAATCAAAAAATTTTCTTCTGCAACCACTGATTACCGATGAATAAAAACAGTAAGAAAAAATGAAAAAAAGAAGGGGAAAAAAAAAGAAACAGAATAGACCCGAATAAAAAAAGAAAAACGTGAAAATAAATATCTCTATTCAAGTTTTTTTTAGGGGAGAGGGGAAGAAACAAATAGCACTTAACAGTTTTAAAAAAAAAAAGGCAAGAAAACTTTTGTGACATCCAAATCTACAAGCAATATAGTTCAATATATACATAAACATAGACATACACATGCATAAGCAACTGCAACAGCAGCAGTAGCGGAGGTGCAGCAGTACAAAGAATAAAGTAAACCGAAGCACAGCAGCCCACTACAGAATGCATGACGAATAGCCAAAAAAATTCATCACTAATCACATTTCAAATCTGTACGAAACTACTAAAATTAGCAGCACAAAAGTTGCCTCTCCAAGATGTCCACTGCAACAATATTACGGCTAATCATTTCAAAAAATATGCTGAAAAATACTGCCAAAATGTACTGCAGAAAAGAGATTCCTCTGTAGTATACAGGCCTGAATATACAGCTGATAAAAAACTTTCTTTTTTTGTTCTAAACTAACATCTAATTTCACACATCGAAAGACCTCTTTTCTTTTCTTGCCAATATACAAATCTGTTTCCTAAAAAGTGTATAATATGTCATCTTTGAAGATGCAAATTGTAGGAAAAATTAGCAATAACAAGTTTTTGCAACCGGTGGGGGGCATAAAAACTGAAAAAGCAATAAAAGAAAAGCCCATTTACAACAATGTTTCGTTGTTTCCAATCGATTATATCAAATCCAACAGAAAATTGAAGAAAAAAATAGAGGGAAAAATAAGATACACAGCCACACCAGACCAAAATTACAGTTTACAGATGGTAGCTGTTGATTTCATAAGCACTTTCCTTCCTTTTAAAACTTTAAAGAAACCTGAAAAGATCATCGAGTACATTAACAACTTACGATCCGCAGTTTCAACTGAATGTTTACAAGTAATATGCCGAAAAATGAACAACAGGTACTACAGGTACACTTTTCAAAACCTTTTACCAAATATTTTTCAGAATTATAAGATTCTTCTTTGAAAAGAAGAAGAGAAAACACTTTTTTTGGGACTCATCACAGCTACTTTGTATGCGCACCTAATAAAAATAAAGTTTCGCTGTTTCTGTTGCAGTATTAGCAACAATAAGTGTTGCATACCGTTAACGATGATTTTACCGCTGTCGTTATTCTCCAGGATCAAACGTACATGACTCTCTTCGTAACAATGAGAACAAGCATTTGTAAAGTATGTCTGACTCCTCTTTGATTAAAGCATTTTGAAATAATAAAAATAGGGGGAAATTAAGGAAGATAAAAACCGAAAAAAGAATAAAAGAATTAACAATAGCAATAATAAAAAGGAAAAAAAAAAAATAAAGGAATACAAATAAGAACTTTTTGCATGCTGTAATGAAAAAAACGAAAAAACTCGCAAACGTCCTCTGTAAATGGGTAAAAAAAAAGGGCACACTCCAACCAACGAAACGACCAGTGGAGGCCTTTCTGATCGGCAGTGCGAAACCCTAAACACGCGACGCTCACAAACCTCCTGAGACGCGATGCGTTCCTGTGTTTTTGGGCTTCGGAACCAATCGCTTCTTGCTGCTTTTGCTCGGTCGCCTGTTTGCTTGCTTGTGCTCCCATAGCCTACAACGCAAACAGCACGCGAGGCTCCCACCGCTTTGTCGGCTCCACAGACTTCTTGCTGCTGCTATCGCTGATGCTGACTGTCTTATCGTTGTCGTTTAACGTTCTTCGATGATTGCTTTTGCAGTCGTCGTTGTCGTTATCGCCATTACAGTCAGGTCCATTGCTGTTGTTTGTTATTGTTGTTATTGTTATTGTTGTTGTTGTTGTTGTTGTTGCCGTTGTCTTCGTCGCCGTTATTCACCGGTATTTGGAAGTTAAGTTCAGTAACAGAATCGTCGACAGCCAGTGGTGTCGGATAGTGGTGGGAGGGGTGGGAGAACGAGAATATTCAACATTTTTAAGTGCACTACAAAAAAGGTTGATGCTCAACTTACTAGCTAGCTGCATATGAGAAACAACAAGACATAGTCCTGTATGGCTTTTGTATATGTGTGTAATCAGCTTTCACGCTGCAGTGACTCACGCATATTTTCAGTTCCTTCTTTCCCATTTATTTTTAAGCTCGTCACATTTTTTAAAGACGAGACTATGTAGAAATGAAATATTTTTTTTATTAATATTGTACATTTACAAACACTCTTTTGTAGAACCATGAGGAAACCAAGAAAATTTTATTTTTCTTTTGATTATAACTGGTTAAACTACACAAATATATATATACTTTTATTTGTTTGTTTACACTTACACTTATTTATCGAATACAAGAGGAAATCTTTAAAGAAGCAGTTCCTTATTCTCTTAGCTGTTTGGAGAGGACTTTGATGCCTTTCGCCTAGAAAGTTGTCTTTTTTTTTTTCTGTTTTGCAAATTAAATAATTGACGCGGGTAGACAGTTGGGCAGCAAATATTCAGTGCAAATGGTAAAGATGATTTCCTTTTTTTGTTTTTGGTATTTCAGCAATAGATTTGGTGACAGATGACAATAATAATGGATCTTGAGGACACTGGTAAGAACATCAGTAGTTGGTAACAGCCAAAAAAGTTGTCGAATCACAAAACCAATTAGTTGGTGTGTAATGTTTTGCTGTTGCAGCTGTTGATAAAGCCAAAGAAAGAACGGAAAAAAAATTTTTCCGTTCTTTCCTTGGCTTTATCAACACCTTCCAACAAAACTGGTGAGCAGTTTTGAGCGAACACTGTAGTAAAAATTTTTTCAATAGTGGTTATCCGAATAATTTAGGATGAATTTCTATAAGTAATGGATGCACGCAGAACAAGTTGCTTGTAAGGAGGAAAAATTTTTCTTATCATTTTTTGGAAAAACACTGAAAGCACGCGTAGCAGAAAATTTAAAAAAATTCAGCAAAGGGATTTTAATACGAAATGTGCTGTCAACAAAAGTACTATAAGCACCAAACATCTTTAGAGTATCTAAGTTGAAAAAAAGATGCGTAATTACGTTATCAACTGCCATTAAATCGGGTCTAGAACAGTTAGATCTGATTAGTACAGTAAATATTTTAAATTTCTTAAAATTCACGAATTGTTTGAGTATCTCTGAAATGGCCAAGTGATACTGGTTTAAAATTAGTATTGTTGGACGCTGAGCAGAAATTATTTTCCGATGTGTTGGAAGATTGAAGGAGATCATGTCGGCAATTTGTGATTCCTTGGGAAGTGAGGGTTTCTAATTTTAGATTTGATAAAAACCCATCAGATGAATTGTCTCTTAATATAGTGCTTATTGTTTCTTCTATTCTGGATACTAATTGGAAATGACAGGAATATTTGAATATGGCTGAAAGATAGGCGAATCTGCCTTTGGTCGGGTCGTGAAGTAGTCTTTTCTAATTGTTCAAGAGCTGTTAACACTGGTAAGAAATAAAATGGCTGGAGTTTTCCTGAAACTTCTCTACATTTAGGAGTTAGAGGTTCTTGAAATTGAATACTTCATCTCTGAATAAATAGAAATTATATCAGAATTTTCTTATTTTTTTTTTTTGAGCGGGGGTTACCTTCGGTGATGGACCTCTCAGATAGCATTTCTAAGAGAATGAATGTTCAAGATATAGAAGAGAAAAAGGAAGTGAAGAAACAGCATTTTTATTAGTTTCTTGCAGATGACAGGTACATCTCTAGCGTGAAGATCATCACTGGTAAGCTAACTTTTGTTTCTATTCTTTGTAGAACCTAATATTCCTGCGGTGATTACCGTTGCTGTGGTAAGTGGGACTAATGGCATCTGACAGAACTTGGCCAGGAACTGAATTTTTTCGAGGCTTCAGTATTGATTAGGCATGAGAAATTCCATTACTCCATTCTTTGTATATACCTGATTGGACACGAACAGTTCTGCAATACTATTTTGGTTTGAAAACTGGTTTAATTTGTCTTTGAAAAATCTTACATTCAATAACTCGGTTCACCACATTAGAAGCAGCAGTGTTAACTTCATATATATGTATAAAAATGAGTTCAGATGAATATAAGGCTATTTTTAGTCTTAGAAAGTGAATATACGAACCACTGTTTTTAAATAGCTCAATTTTTTTTTCCTTCATTTTGCGATTTGGTAAAGGCCAAATCGTAATATGAACTGTCATGCGTATCTGTTTCACAGGTCTGGTTGTGCTCAAATAAATGTCTGGTTTGAACCCGGTGGCGTCTGGGCTTATGTTATTCTTAACTCATGTGTGAGGAATTGATAAAAACTTTGTCTGCAGTAAGATTTCGTTAGTTCATACCGTTTTTGTGAAACATAATTCTTTTTCAGTCGCATATTATTGGTCGTGTAAAAAAAGGCATTTATTCATATGCAAAAAAGATATATATCTTTCTTTCACCATTGACGTACTTTTGCTATTTGATGGATGGCAGTGTATGTGGCAGTTGTCATTGTATACGAATTTCTGTTTGTATTAGTGTTCACTAAGATACAGCTAGAAATTTTGTTGAGTCAATCGAACGCTAAAAAATGACGTCAACAATGATGAATCATCAAACCACTGACAGTTTTTGAAGTATATCTTATCAAATTTAATTGTGACGTCTGGAATTCAACCGCGGTGAATCAGTATTTATATCTGTAGTAATGTTAATGGTTAAAAATTTTATTCCAATTTTAACTATATATAACAACTTTTATGATTACAATCTCTACAATTCTAATAACAAATAAAGAAAGGTAAACCATCAAATTGTTGGAAAAAAACGGAAAGTCATTCCACTTACTGCAGAATAGTTAAATAACAACTGTCTATAGGGGGTTGGATCCTGAGACAAAATTTTTTTCTTTGAATAGTTTCAATAGCCCATGATGAAAGGACCGCTTTAACTGGCAGTAATGAATAAACCTGGGATATGCAAATCTATATAATTCTGTTCCTCAAAAAAGGGCAAGAGTAATAATGACTCAAAATTTTTTTGCTGAATTTATTCTCTCGGAAAAAGATATGTTGGTTAAAAAAATCTTTTAAGTGCTAAAGGAACAACCCCTTCTTTCCTTGGAATGTAGATATAAAAAGAAGAAAAAGACTAGATGAAGGGTTATAAAAAAATTTAAAGGATCACTGATTGTATTAATGGATATTTTTTTTGTAATACCTTCTCTGATTCTGATGTAAATGGGTCAGTGACTTCAACAGATGAAACAGTGATTTCATTTGATTGAGCAGAAATCCTTTTTCCGGGGTTGTGAAAATCAGTGTTCCAGTGAGTACTCAGCTTTAATACTTTTTGTCATAGTACCATATCTGTTGTTTGCAACACACGTATAGACTCCCTGATCACCGATCATTGCAGGTTCGATTTCTAGTTTACTCGATATGAAGTTTTTGACTGGCTTTTCTGAATACTGCAACAATTTCATTAGTTTGTACTTAAATTTTTAGACTTCTTGACAAACAGAAGATCATTATTGCTTTGACTGTAAAACAGATTAGAATAATATAAGAAATCTGTGTATTCACTTATTCTTTAACAGACTATCAGTTTTAATGAAGGGAAATAGAAAACCGGAGAAAGACGAGAAAATATAACAAACGGCATAAAATATTGGTTTTCAAGTGAAAATAAGCTCAATTGTTATTTTTTTTCGCAACAGAACACTTATCATTTGTGTTGGTTCTGTCAGGTAATAATGTCGGATATGAACATGTTACTTGACAGGCGATAAGCCAAATGAATTTTAACATTAGAACTTCCATTATTAGAAAAAGTGTTACAAATAATTTTGGCCATTGAGCATTCATGTTCCTCTTTCTTATACTTACTTGGTGTGCTTTTTTTCCAATAACTTTTATTACACAAATTCGTTAAGCTTGTAAAATTTCCATTACTCATAAATTTTTAACATTGAGTGACGGAATGATATTTAATGATTGTATTAGATTAGTGGGTGGTACACTAATATTCGTAAAGATTTTGGACTACGGTTCCTAGAATGCGTCGAAAAAAAAAATTTCTTAAAATAATTGAGGGCCATGATTTTTATGCCTTTTAATTTCAAACACCGTTTTCAATTTTTATTCTCATTTTTTGCCCATTTTTGCAGTGGTCTTCTTAAATACCAGTTTTCTCAGTTTAAGCCCTTAAAAATGATCAAAATTCAGATGGGTAATAAGAGAACAAAAAACATTTACTGGGAACTGAATGATTCAAGAACTTTTCTACTGTATTCTTCTATCCGTTTCAAAAAATTTGGATTACTTTTAGCTGGTCTTTTCAGGCTTTTGTTTATAAGTAACCGTTTTCAACCACGCAAATAGAGATTAAATCATAAATATATCAGCTAATTTTATAACAGATTTCAATACTCGGACAGTATATTTTAAATGATTGAAAAGGAGTTTAAAGAATTTTACCCAGCAGAATTTTTCTCTTTAAATGTAGTTTAGCTCTGACACCACTCTGGTTTTTTCCAGATTAAAACAGTGATGATTTAAAGACAAGAAAAAAATCATTTAAGTAGCTTTATATTTCCTGCTAAATTGTGTGTATCTGACGAAGATAATAACACCGTTTTGAAAAGCTCACGTGAACATTATACTTAGGCTGTAAGTCACAATTATCTTTGTGCCACATGATCGTTGGCCGAGGTTCACCTTGTGCCTTACAGATCAGGATAAGTTTGAAGCCAAGTTTATAGACTTGAATGTAATGAGAGCCCGACACAATTCTTGCACTCTGAAACATGTTAGGTATTAGCCCGTGTTGTCCTGGTAGTCTGGTAATTTTCCGGTACGTTTTCTGCAACTTTTTATGTTGCTATTTATAGATATCCCCTTTTTGAATTCTGGCTGTTCACCAACTACACAATTAACTGAAACTAATACTGTACTTGTTATCAGTAACTGGCAATTTAAAAGTGATTTCTAAATGAAGCTGGCTTAGAAGCGTTAAAAAAGCGGGGATTATGCTACAGAATGGTCTGTACGAAAAAAAAGACCCAAAAATGACATCTACAACTAGCTTACATAAAAAGAAGGAACAATTTACATTTTTGTAAACTTGGGCAGTGATCGAACAAAGTGAAAACTGACATTATGGTACAAATCCTTTTGTACGTGGACATGAAGTCTTACACTACTAAGGGCAAGAAAGAAACAGAAAAGCCGTAAAAAAGGTCTTTCTGCATTGAGATTGCTATTTATTTCTAATGATTTAATTCTTTTCTACTTAAGTTAAAAACCGTCAATACCCACAGAATCAAAACATCAACTTGAACGAAGTTGGTGATCATGCACCGGGACTGAAATACCACCAAAAACTGTCGTGAACATGAAAGGCTTACCCGATTATCAGCAATTGATGGCATAATTAATGAGAATTCATTTTTACCCCCTCCAACCTTGCTCTTCACCTTCCCTTTGCCACCTCGTCGAAGACCACCTCGAGATTCGGCACTAATAAACAACAGCAGTAGAAGGAGAAAGACGGAGTTTAAACGAAACGATAACATTCATGAACTGTCCGTTCCGAGATGCACTCAAAACAACAATCCACACTTTCGAAAGCACAGCTATTATTTGAGCCTACTTCCCCTCAAACCCTCAAAACTGTGTCGATAATTCAACAGACATGTGTCGATCTTTCAAATAATCGACAGCTTACGCAATCACTCACTGAACGATATTGGATATGTGCCAAACAGCTAGATTTCAAGTTCAAGCTTGTGTTCTCGTCAAGCGTAGAATGTATGCCCCTTGGTTAGGTTTAGAGGATTCCCACACTTCGAAACTGCATCGGTTCTGTGCGTTTAAAGCTCAAAGTAACAGACTCGGGGCTACTCTGAAATGTTCAAAGTTCTCCTTTGGAGTTTGGCTAACACCTTTTGGGAGACTTTAGAGAAAGTCTCAATGGGTTTAGCGTAGTACATTACCAAATTAGTGACTGCGTGCTTTCAATTACCTTGAACCTTTTAAAGAAAAAGCGCTAGTTTCCATTTTGTCGGGGGTGTTGCTGGACTGGATATAAAGTCCCTTTCTTTTATTTTTTATTCAAGAAAATTTTCCTGCTGCCTGGACTTAATAAGATTTAGATTTAATGAACTTGAACAGTTGATTCGGTCTAAGCAGCATAATGGTTTATCAGTTAGGGCAATTTAGAACAACTGCAGCAGGAAAAAAAAAGAAGATGACTAGCTGTTTCATCTTTTTCTTCCGTGAACTCTAGAAGGTGACTTTAGTAATATTGCACTTAGGCATAACCACTTTCCAGCATGCTTCTTCTACTGTCAACTTATCTTCATTTTTTGTTTAGAAGACTTCAACTTCTGGTTTATATACGGTAGTTTCAGACTTCTCCACATGCTTATTGCTTAACTTTTAATGGTCTAGTAATTCAATCCTTGTAACAGTTCAGCGGAGGTACCTTTTTCTCAACGTTTGGTTTAATGAACATCATCTACACTTCTTAACTGCATGAAGTTAGGTTAAGGCTACTTCTTGCCGTTCCGGAAGTATTTCTGCCAATAGAGGTTAAAGTTTATTACTTTTAACTAGAAGTAATTTGAGAAGTTGCATTCAAAGCAGTTTTAAAAAGTGTTGTTTGCTTTCCTCCAGAATCGTTTTTGATTTAAACTAATAGATAGTTCTATAAGAGATAGCTCTATGGGCGCTCATTCCTGCCGCATTGAGACGGTTAAAGCGATTTCTATCCTTGCGTACGGTGATGCATCTGTGTTTGAATATACGATTGAACACGTTCTTTTTGTCAATAAACGGTGTTGTGAAAGTGATTCGCTACTGATAACTGAGCAGTAGTTTGTGTTTGGTACAATCATTTCGAGTGACATGCGGCGAAGTTACAGTGGATTGGGGAACTCGACTTACTTTAACCACTTTGTTAAGTTTTCTCAGTCAAACTGCCCCGGTTTGCCTTTCACAGTCTAGAAGAACATAGACTGCTATTGGCGTCAAATAAAAAAGCAGCAGAAAGTCATAAGTTGAAAAAAGATTTTTTGATGTACATCTATATATATAGCCAAATTGTTATTGAGTTACACTCAGTCCTAATGGTAAAGATTCGCCACTGGAGTGATGTAAGTAAGAAGAGTGTTCACAGCATTACTCTCAGTTTATTAACATGGGGAAGGAGAGTGTTTCCGACAGCTTTTTCCTTTTGTAATTACTGAGGTTCGATTTAGAAATGAAGGGGTTGGTAAATAGGTAGCCGTATACACTGTCTGTCAGTTCTTAAAATCGCACTATATTTAGTAGTCGTCATTGTCACCAAGGGTTTTTTTTTTGAACGCCAGAATTATTGGTCGTTAAAGATTCAACAGAGTTTGTGAATCTCGCAGTAGTCAGATCCGAAATGGAGATTAAATTCTTTGGAAAAGCTGTATCAATAAGGCCCTATTGAAATGCAATTTATATTGTAGGGTGCAAGGGCCAATTACACATTTACAGTAAGAGTACATAATAGGAATGAGGATCCGGTAGGACATGTCAGAAGAGTGGTAAAAGCATTTGCCCTTAATCTAAAAAAGGATGTCTTTTAGCCAAGAAAAAAGTACAAAAAACTGAAGATAACTGTTTCAAAGCTCTGCTTAACACGTTTATTGTTTGGATTACCTTAACAACAGAATTGTCGTAGACTGCAGCAACTTGACTCATTAAGGTCCTTCACAGACACTCTGTGCTCCACATGTGCCAACTTTGTTTATTATGCATCCTTTTTCAATACCATTTTGCGCTTTTAACACAGCTACTCTCACTTTTCCTTGCCTGCCTCTAACTAAATTTTGTATCCCTTCTAACTTCTAATGCCCGTGGTGCATGCCTCTGTCAAACAGTGTGACCGCTTCTTCCAATCTTGGTTTTTACGGAAAATTGGTCTTTTTATATCCCTTCTAGCAACGTTCCCAGAAGCACTTGAGGTGTTGGGTTTTTTTATCCATCCGGAAAATCCCTTCTGGAGACAGCTCATGCTTGCTGCTAAAAAGTCCTAAGAACGCACTACTTGCCTATGCTGGTTTTATTGGGGGGTCTTGAGTCGATACTACAAGTTATTTGTGTTTTTTTGCGCTGGTTTCTACTCTTGTAGAAACATGTAAGTTAGTGATATTGTGGACCGTAATGCAGATAGGACGAGATTTTGCGTGTTCCTGCAGAAGAAACAAGTGAAAAAAAAGGTCACTTAATTTTCAAAACCGAATCCCGTTCTTTGAGCTTTCTAACAAGCACAGACTGGTTCCAGAAAGAATGTTTTAGATGAACAAAAAACTTTTCGGAGCTGCAGCAGCTTTTTGCAAAAGACAGAATAGCTGGAAAGAAGTAACATGTGAGTCCAAAAAGAAATAAGTTGTCTTTAATCAGACTAGTTTATTTCTGTCGCTCATTATAAGAACTTTCTATTGACTACAGGATCCCTACAGAATGGGGATCCCAAACAAATGAAAATCCTTCCGAGACTTATTTCCTGAAGAGTCGGAATTTATTTTGAGCATATACTAAAAGCCAGAAGCAGTATGCTCGTGGCCATCGACCTGTCCTAAGGCGGTGTTCTTGGGGGGTATACGGTTGGCCGCGGCGAATTACTTGGCCACAGAGAGCGAGAACGGGAGGACAAAGGGCGTTGCTTAGGGAAAGTTCAATAAAATTTTTTCTTTTCAAGTCGCTTGTTCTCCTTTCGACAGTTATGGACTTGCTCGAAGTCTTGTGTTTCATTCTTTACGAGGTGTAAGGCAGCGGCTTGTGGGGAATAAATTTCTTTCAAGCTCCGAATTTTTGTTCTGTTCGAAGTTAAATTGTTTATCGTATTTCCCTTTAATCATTCTTTGACAAGTAGGGAGGTGGACTGGTATTTGACGACAGTTTTTCATTAAAACTAATCTGTAAATTTACATTGTGTTAATTTGGATAGTGGACTAGTATTCAACGTCTTTTCTTTCACGTTGTAAGTATTACGGGATTAATAAAGGAAGTTATACATCAACAGATTTCTCAAAAAAACGTCTAAATGTCCGGATGTTAAACTAATTAGTCTTCTTAAGTGCGCTGGTACCGGGTACTGTAAACATCGACGACTACAATGACTTGCAGTGGTTAACAATAAATCTCCATAAAAAGGCACGTAGAGGAGTGAAACATCTTTCCCATTAAAATTACATACGGTAGTTGCGACAAGTTTGTTCTAGCAAGCACGGGTTTCTTTTTGGTGGTATCTTCAGAGCTTATTTGGAAATGAAAAAGTTTATATATTTTAGTTTCTTTCAAAACTGCCGAAATAATGCTTTACCTTCTAAAAACAGTTTCATGTTTGCCACTTTGACTCCTCTGTCGCTGGGATTGTACACGATGCTAGCTACAATGCCTTATCCTTTCTTCGCCAATATCCAAAACTTTTAAAAATGCATTTCGTGTGACTCAAAAGTTTCCTTCTTTTAAAACGGTATGAGAAACGGGATGACGCGAGGAAAGCGCCATAACGGGACGGGTTATTTGATGAGGTAGCACCGGGATACTGCCATGGATACTGTGAAGGTTTGCTGCGCTTTAAGTTCGTGTGTACAAGTGCGTAAGACCCATACGAGTCAAGATCTAGACTCTAAATCAGCTGAAAACGGGGACCGTTGAAGTTGTCGAAAACTATCAAAAGAAGTGAAACAAATGACAAGAACTGGAGAACCCACCACCTTCCTAAAACGTCTTTTTTGATCAATTGGAATTATTTCATGTTAGGTCTATTCGGCTGTTTGTAATAAAAACGCAGCTGTAAGGCCATAACCCACTATACTGACAGAACTTCTATTTCCTTTTGACAATCTGGACCACGTACCGTGAATAAACGATGCCAATATCCAAAGTTATTATCTCCGTCGTTCTTTTCCCAAGTGTTACCTTTCCTACATAATCATTGTTTGTTAAGAAATAAGAGATAACTTATTTTTCGTTGAAATGACAAACGAATCGTTTGGAAGAGCGCCATTTACATCCAAAACACACTACCTCTCTACATTAAGTATTTTATACCACCTATCACTGAAAAGCCTGGAACGTTGATAACAATTGAAAATGTTCCATTTTTCCGCACATATCTGTGTATGAACTGTTTATTAACAAAAAAATTAACAAATTAGATCTCCGTCTTTTTCAAAATCTGTCAGAAACCACAAAATTTGGAACTGCACTTACAATAAGAATGAAAATGACAGTAGTTTTGACAAAGTGAGTTGGAAATGGCTCAATTAAGAGCTCAAATACTGCGTCCACTTATATATGGCATCTGAGGACAGCTTCGCAGAGCGATTAACCTTCTATTTTCTTTAAACTAAGCAGAAACACGAAGTTTTTTCAGTACCGATCTATTGCCTCATATAACGCAGACAAACTCCTAAGTAACACGAAGATGCATTAGAGTGTACACGAGAAACGACTTTTAAGAAGAATCCAAGAGAGCAATAACAATACAGCCTTAAACGTCTAATGTTAAAATAAAATTACTCGAGAAAATTTGACTGAACAATACAAACTCCATGAACTCCGTAAACAACTATGAGATTTTTGCTTCCATTTTCATCCTCAAATAAATAAACGCGGCTTAAAACATTTAATTTTCAAGTCTACCACAAACACTTCTAAAAACTACAAGACAACTACATTAATCGCGGTGAAAAGTGACAATATTCTAAAGGATTCGAACTCTTCAGTTCATTACCCCTCTATAAGATCCGGGACAGCAAAGCGTTTTCGTATAGCATTTTTCAAGAGAATGTTAAGCAACAAAGAAGAATGATCAGGAGCTTCTTTGATTACTGGCGGATAAGGGTTACCTGAAACGGGATGCAATTTTTCATAGATAATACCAATATACTTGATGGCAAAACAGATCTGACTGCCCTGCAACTACAAAACTGAGAATAGAAAACCTTTGAGCTCCAGAACACCAATCTCCGCTGCACGCGACTTTATATTTTTTCTCCGAATATACAGTATAGAACGTTCTTTGGGGAGGGTATACAGGTCTGTGTACGGTTCTGTAATTAATAGTTCAGAAAGAAATATAAAAAGCTTGGGCACATTACTATCCCGGCAGTAAAAGCCTCAGTAAAGATTTCGAGACCTCACTAACGGTAACGAAATACAGCACTCTATTGCTGCTCAACACCAGAAAAAACTTATTAACTGCTAAACAAAAGTATGAACCTCCTAGGTTACGAAATCGAGGAACAAGTACGTCGAATAATTTTTTTCGTAAATCTTCTTCAACCACCCACCAGTCAGTCATTTCCTTAACGTACGGGTCCTCCAAGCCACGATAAATTGCCAGTTGTAACAACTGTAATGTCAGGTATAACGAACTTTACATAACGAACTTCCGCTGATAATTATTTACTGTTAAAAACAAAAACAAAACGCCAAAAAATGTAACCGGTCAGTATAAGTTCAAATAATAAAGTTACCCTTTCCACATAAGGTCTTGCTTCAACGGCACGATTATGCAAAAATTCGCAACGTTCCTCTCTAATTAAACGGGTTACCATACGCCGAAGAATCTAAAAAGTCTAGTTGCCTAAAATGGGATTTAGTTGATAAGTCCAAGTTTAGCCCTTTACCTGCTCAATTTCTCCTCAATAAAACAAGGTTCATTTCAAAACTTGGTGCGTGTGGATATGCCATTCAAACCGTTCGTTACCAAAAATGCTCTGATCAAAATTTGAAATTCCAATAAAAAAATAAAACATTCCTCCAAAATCCACCTTTAAAGTTTCCAAAAAAACCACTCTTCAAAGTAAAACAGAGTTCATTCTAATATTCTTTCAGAAACGATAAAGTGAAAAATATTTCTACTATGTTCTATAGCACAGATTAAAATTTGCGTCCTTGAAAAACAATTCTGGCAAATTCATTACAATGTCTAATCGAAGCTTAAATGGGAATCCTTTAGAAAGTTTCCGAAGTATACTGCAAAGCAATAGTTTTTTAACTGAAGTTGCTTTTGAGTTGCCCATTCTCTATCTCCCCAGTTCTAAATTCACATTAGTCGACCAAAAACCCAAAAAACTCTGTTTCATCCCGCTTTTCACCTTTTCCACCAACAACTTTCCAATTAGTCAAGCTCTCAATGGAGTGTTTCTTCCGCCAAACCAATTGTAAATCTAGGATAGGCCAAAGAAGCTTGATCTCTATTGAACGATATCATGCACTAAAAATCCCACTTCCTATTCCCTTTGATATGGTCCTACTAGTTTCGAAAAAATGTTTTTCAGATGGGGGGAATTAAATAGCCTGATGTTGTATTTCTCCCCTCAAAAACACTACCCTTCCATTTCACTAGCTTCCCCAAAATGCTTACTTTGGAACGCTGCATTTTTTAATGAGGAACACTTAGACTATGATTTTTCTGAACATCACTGGTTCCCGCTGCTGACCCCCTGTCTTTACGCCAAAATCAAGTTGTCAAAGTCCTGCCTTTTACCTCAGCAACTTTAAACACAAAATACAGATATTAATAGTAAACTTCTAAGCAGCCACATTATATAACAGTCTTAAACTGTACATAATTTTCAAAGTTAAATGTGTGAGTGTATCCAATCCTCTACCAACTATAAAAACCTACTTTTCTAATACTTTTAGTTACAAATCTTTCATTTGGCCGAAAACTTACTTGGAGAATTAGACATAGCAGACAGAAATTACTGGCTATCCTTAGATTTAAAAAAAATAAAAAGAAATTCCGCATAAAAATGAAAATACAAAATACTGAAAGAATAAGTGCTCAATGTGTCCATTTTTTGCCACCCAAAGTGTCAACTGTCCAAGATCTTCCGCACTTTCCACCCAGTACCTTCCAATTTTCAGCCTAAAAATGCATTACCAAATACATTCCGCCTGAACCTTTTATGGATATATTTTATTTTTCACAAACGTTATACTACCTTTCCTTCACAATAATTTCACTAACTTTAAAAATTTCTAACAAACGGAGACCACAACTCCATTACTATAAATGACCGCAGTTTCATACTTTTTTTAGTTTCATACTTTTTTACTAGTTTTTTTTTTGATGCAAATCTTGTCTGTGACAAAATCTCAGCGTTTTCACAACTGCCGCATTCCCAGTATTTCTGCCACTAATGTGCGTCTTTTCATAGTCTCATTTTTGATGAATCAGTAAGGGCAGTTCTTGATTCCTGCGATGTTGAAATAGTTCAAAGTATCATCAAACTATCTTCCAATTTCATACACAGTAACAGTACTGATACTGATTTCCAACGTCAACTGTCAACCGAACACACTACCCTTGAAGCAACTAATTATTGAACGTAAAGCGAAAAGAATATCGCAAAGACTTCTTTTATTTCATATAATTCCTTCAACCTTCTTTCCATATAAAGGTTCCAATCCAATTTTTAAACACTTTAATCCGCCAAAAAATCTAATTGCAGCATTCACCGTTCTCAAAAAATAAATATATCCAAATCGAGAAAAAACAGGAACGTAAAGGACTGTAGTTTGGGAAATTTAACATGCACACAAGAATATCACTGCAAAAGAAAAAAAGCCATTTATAAAGCCTTTACATTTATTTCACTTACATTTAAACGACCTCGATGAGAAGGAATCTTTTCGGTCTTTAGTTTCTGTTTGATATGGCCGATCGCAACTTTAATCGACGGTAGTGAGGTCGTAACTCTTCCAGCATTAGCCATGGTCTGTAAAACGCAAAATTTCAGCAGCTTCGCGCCACGGAAAACTTGCAGCTTTTGATCTTCAGGGATCAAAACCCTGCATATTTTTCACCACAAGGCAACGCAACAAGACGCCAAACAAGCCAACTATTAAATATGTTTGCAGTAATAGCTCATTCACTCTTTAACCCAAAAGGAATTTAAAAAGAGTCGACCCTCAGCGAAGAAATAGCGTAATTACTTTAGCTACCGACGACAGTAACAAATTGCATCCCCCAGCTCGACCTGGGGAGTAGCTGAACACTCCAGCCAGTAAAAAACGACTGTAAAGAAGCCTCGCTCTAAACCTTGGCGTTTTTAGCATAAAAGATGAAAATAAATGAAGCCAGAAAAAAAAACAGGAAAACTCAACAGCAGTAAACAACTTCTACAAAAATTCAACAGTTTATTAAGATTTTTCATCAAAAATAATCCAGCCATAATAAACTTAAAGCACAATTTTCATTTAACGCAAAAGCATAATCTTGGTTGTGCAAACAAAAAGTAAAAAAGTGGCAAGACTTCGTCACTGTGACAACTATCTAGCACAAAGCAGTAATCTAAAGATTTCCAAGTTGAAAAAGAAAATAAAATTTCAGGTTTTAAACCCTAAAAGAGTCACAAAAGAAAAATTGACAGCAAACAAACTAAGAAGAGCTTTTTTCTAGAGCTTATAAACAACCATACAACAGCACAACTCGCAAAAAAAATTTTCTGCTGCAAAAAAATGTTGTAAAAGCAAATTCAACTCCAGTAAAATTTCAATCTTGTTGTCGGAAAACACTTAGGAATGAAGAACACTACAGAAATACTCGCAAACAAGACTAAAAGTGTATCTAAAGACCAGGGAAAAAAAAGAACTTTTTTCTCAGTCTTGTGCTACATTCTGGTATCTGCTTATAAGAATCTCTCGAACTTTCGTACTCTTCTGCCACGCGTCTGTTGACCTGAAAATTTATTTTCAAATTTGTGAATAGTGAAATAATTAAAAGTTGACTTTATTATTGTTCTATTTTAGTGACGTCAAATGCAATAATCTTCCAGTAGGCCATTCCCGCTAGCACTCGTTAACCACGAGAGAGAAGTATGAATGCTGCAAGAAAAAAAGACTAGCAGCCCTCTCCATTCGCCGTTAAAAACAGCAGTAAAGTCGAGCGTGACAAATGTCGCAACCTTTAAGAAATGACTTAGGATGAAAGTACTGAAAGTATGAAAGTATGATTTTAAAAACTTATTTCAACCTCATCCATAAACAAATAAATAGGTCAAGAACAGTAGTCTATCAATCTATTTAAATAAGTGACCTCTCAAAATACTCGGCAACCAAGAAGTTCATAAGACATTTGATAATTAATTAATTTGGAAGTCAGTGGGTATGTTATTTAAGTTTCGTGTAGTATCTCAATATAAGAAATGACAAAAAATAACCACCGATTAGATGGAGAATTGATTTAAAGCAGCCGCCTAATAAGAAAGTTGTTCATGTGAAAATCTGTTCATTACACTAGTAAAGGTGTTGAAATCAAAGAACAAGTTTAAACTCAAATATGCTGCGAGACTTACCAGAGTCAGCATGTCTACAATTTCTAACTGTTTAGCGAACTTGGCAAAAACTTCGCATATGCTCTGAATAAACCAGCTTCCTCTGATATTATTTCTCCAAGACACGTAACCAGGTACTGTAGCACATGCAATCAAAAAATCTGCTTCAACTGGTAACCTGAAAACTATCGCATCAAACTGACTCTCAAAATTTTCCTTTTTTTCATTAATGCAGTTTTTTGCTCAATATTCAATAATCCAGAAGCCATACAAATTTATGTTTTAAGTAAGCTAAACCAACCAATCGTCGTCATCACAGAAATTTTCAGCCTACACAAGATTTAAAACATACTTGTACGATAATTTCACTTTACAATTGTTTGTTTTAGGAGCGATGAACCTAAAACAGCCGCCTTTAAATGTATTGTCAGTCTGGTCCACATTAAGTGTAACTCCTTGATCGTAACGCACTAAAATACTAAATTAAAAAACTACAGAATCAGGAGTAAAAAGAAGCTAGTTATAAAAGAAAATAATCCAAATTTCAAGCCATTACAAACAACCAACTTAAAAGTAAAATAAATAATCAACTGATTAGAAAGCAGTTAAGTAGAACATCAAAAAAATTGATCACCAGAACCCATTGATTAGTAAATAAAGAACAAGCAACCTAAGGCAACTAAAATGCATACCTCCACGACAAGCTTGAAGTATAAATATTTTTGGTTTTTGGGCCAAAGGCGGGCAGTTTATAGCGTTCAACTGAGAGACAAATTCATGAACTGAGAGAGGCTTATCGTCAACTCCGAAAAGTTTGTCGTTTTCTCCATGAGTAAGTACGCACACCACACAGGAATCAAGAAGCCCATGTTCGCGTCGCCTGGCAAAAGACTGAATAGCTTGAAGCATCTCCTTAAATAAACTTCAAGAAGTACGCTAAAGCAGCAAAAAAGATTTAAATTCTAAAGAAATATCTAAAAATCAAAAAATACTGAGGGAAATAGGTAGTATGAAGTACCGTATTTTAAAAACCAAAATAAAAAATTTAAAGCATTATAAATGTAGGCACGAACTTGAAAATGTCCTGTAAAATCTAGAAAGACTAACTTTTGCCGTCAAATCTTTCAAAACACAAAGCTGGTAGCAAAGCTGACTAAACAGGTTTTCCAAGTTACGTCCATCAACTTCCGTCCCCACCCGTTCAACCATTTCTTTAAAAACGCGATTATTAATTATGAGTGCTAGTCCTCGAGGAGACGAAAAATTGCGATAAACCTAAAATTTAAATAAAATAATAAAATAGGTGTGAGATTCCGGAATGCACTAGATCCAGACCACTACTCAAAAATGTTACTTTTTGGTGAACAAAGAGCGTTGTTTGACCCTCTGAATCAGTAGTAATAACAGTTATTTTTTTTTTTTTGTTTTACCACCTCTATATTTTAAGTTAAAAAGATTACACGTAAGAAACGAGTTTTTGGCCCATAACCTATTCGGCATTTTCAAGGCATCTGCTGTCTGAGTTAAAAAAAAGTTAATAAACACTATTATTCTTGAAGCAAGACTCCAGACCAAAAAACGTTTCGGGTGCAAAGCGGTAGCTCCTTTATAAAATTCCAGCATTCAAGATGTCGAATTTAAGGCTTAGGATATTACAAATCACATAATTAAATGAAGCTTTTCTTTTTAGAAAACAGGTTTATCATTTTGAAAAACGATAAACTTGCAACCCAAAAATTAAAAGCTTTAGCGCTTAAACTACACATGTTTAGGAAATTAAATTTTAAACTAACGAAAATCCAATTCAAGACCTCTTTTTCATCAAAGAACGCTGGACTTGGACAATTCCCATTGTTGTTATCAATGGACTCCACAAGTAGATTTTTCAGTATCCCCCGAGCCTCGACTCCTGAAAAAAATATTTTTGGATAACTATCAACAAGAAGCTTATTTCCGAGTGAGGACGATAAGTCTTTCTCCACGGAACCTCCAGTTTCTGTCTCGCCTTCTCTACATTTTACTTTTAGAAGCTAAAGTTTTAGAAACTGACTTTGATTCCAAAATTTTGAAATCCTGTATATAACATTAATTTATTATCTGCCCTTAAAATTTTCGTTCTCATTTTACACCATTATTATTAATTAAAATACACAATATTACCCATTCATAATATTCATTTGTTCATACATCCAAGCCGACTAAGAACTCTACAAAAAATGATTCCCCCCGGTCACAGCAACTTTAAACGGAAAAAATCTTTCCACTTTTTTTTTGAAAAACAGATTTTGTGAAACTAAAAATTTCCCCAAAAATTCCCCAGCATACGGTCATACATAGTTAATGAATGTTTTTCTTTCAAAATTTATTAAAACCCAAACTTGCTGAAAATACCAAATTTAGATCTAAACTGCTTAATAACAAGGTAGGCACATTGGTCAAAAGAAAAAGTACACTGAAATCAACCGAAATAATTTGCTAGAAGTATACCATCTGCAAAAAAACAACACTCTTAATCAAAATGAGCCGTTACTGGGCAACACGATGATAAAAATACAAACCAGGAATACACTGTGAAACAGACGTAGAAGTGGAAGGAGATGCAGAGCACTTGGTAGGACGATTCACTTTCCTCTCCTCACAAGAAACGATATTTACAGCGTCACTGCCATTGGTACATCTAAATAACGCGTTGTAATTGGCTCATAATGTGCCTAAAGAGAAAAAAACATACGAAAAACTGATAATACATACTCAAAGTGCCTGTTAACTCCATTGTCGACTACCTCACGTGAATCAGTCCTGAAAAATAAACAACTTAAAAAATTAACAAACAGAAAAGAAATGTTCGTTGAAGAACTAAAACGGGCACCAGTTACTTGAAGTTGGGAGATTTTCGCATGCCTGTCTTTCCTTGTCAGTCAACTCATTTTCCAAGTACGAGGCAAGATTACTGCAATAGCTATCAGAGTTATCACACATTTCATCAGCACTGGTTCTCAAAAATACAGGATTAACATACAAGAACACCAGAAACTTCTACCTTTCTAAGGAAATAAAGCTGGTAAGTTATAAACCGCGCTATAATAAATGAAAAACTAACTTTTGCCCACTATTAACCAGCGCTTTGTAAAACTGTAAAAACGCTCTATTACCCCTTGTCTCCAGCCGCCGAATCAACTCACATTTTCTTTCGTATGCCTCCGATTGCCTCTAAAAATTTTGATTCTAATTAAACATATTGCGATTATTCAGGTAATGTTCTCTTTGCGCATTACATGCCTCTCTTCCATTACTATTAGAGTTACTTGATAATGTCAGTGGATAAAAGAGCATTGAAAATTAGTTAACCTGAACTCACAAAACACAAGAGGAAATAAAGCAGAATAAATAACACAATTTATTTTCATCGCGTATTTTCCATTTTGTCCAAGACCCAAGCCAATAGTAACCATGCGAAATCTGTTCCAGAAACACAAAAGAAAAGCCTCACAAGCTCTCTCTAATCAAGCCTACTTCCAATGAAAATCACACTTATCGGCTTTGGAATTATAGATGCTCGATTATTTAATGACAACCAACAAAAGAAGTATAAAAGTACTACGAGGACTGATAAAAGCGACGGCGAGTACGGGTTTGAACAACTTCCTACGCCGTCCCTTATGTTTCGGCTTTCTGCCAAGAAACTTTTTTCTGAGTTTACTGCTCACTTCTAATCTACTTTATCGTACAACCTGTTTCACAGCTCGAGAAGTCTCTAACAACGAGAAATGTCAATGGTACCATGACTAATCGACTACTGGTGCTGCTGTGTCCTCGATGTTAAAACACTATTTCAATGCCGCTATTTTCAATCAGATAGCAATAAATGCTACAACTACTGTTAAAAGAAATGGTTAGTGAAAAATAAAATATTATGGTACTAAAAATAAATACTGAAAAAAAAAAACCTTAATATGGTCAGCGACGGAACTACTAATAATGTCTGCCTGCTGAAGGTACAAAAGAACCTTGTCAAGCTGGAGACATGACATCCATGTCACTGTACCTCTGCGTAACAGCGTCCGACGTTCACTTGACATTGGAGGATCGATGTCCATTAAGTCGGAAGTTGGTCAAAAGCCAGATCTGCGCTTAGAATAAGTTACTGTAACTTTGGTTTTGTCCTTCTAAGTATACACAGGAACACAACGACTAACGCGAGACATGGTAATAGGACACAAAAAAAAAAAATAATGTAAGGTTAAAAGCTAAAAAAAGACCACAGAACATTGTAACAAAATAATGGCGGTTTCAAATTCACCTTTCTTCTCCATTCCCTCACCTAAGAGAGACAAGTATACAAAAGCGGCATGCGGTCAACCGGAAATATTTCCAAAAATTCAAACAATATTGTTTGACCACTTAATGAACTGCGAAAAATATCAGTTAAAATATGCCTAGTAAAGGAGTAATTGCAGTGAGACAGGAACTTAATCCACTAGTCATTCACTAGTCATAACTTTTCAGAGAAATTTTGTTCCAAAGGCCAATAGAACATGAACAGTGAAGCGTGCTTTACAGATTTCCTATACCCAGCAGGTTTTAATCGGAACCGAATAATTTAGTGAAATACTGAATAACGAAGAAACAAGCTGAACTTTCGCATCTGTATTACGTGTACACAAGTGCTTACTGGTTAGACAATTCTTTAAGCTATGAAAATATTAATGAAAGTCCACCAGTTACAGTAGCCTATTTTTTGCACTCAGCAATCATCCCCTTGGCAGATTAAGGCTTCTTAGAAATCAAACCGTAATCATCAGCAGTTAATTTTACCAACCGCCTTAAAGAAACGTTAGAACTTTCTATGTTAGGCAGGTCGGCCAACGGTTGATGGCTTTTGTCCTTGTTGCCAGATTCGTTGAAGAAGTATCCGCAATGAAGTTGCTTCAAAGTTCATCGCTACTCTCACAGCGGCATTATTATGAATAGCTTGACTGCGATCATGGGTAACTGCAGTGGTATTCATGTCTGGCGTCTGAATTCCTATGCACCCAGAATTACTGCTGTAAGAACGAATTAGCTGAATGAATGGAAGATGGAATGAAGGAAGGAAAATAGGAAATTTAAAACTGATCTTTACTGAGCGATATGGTATAAAAATTTAATAGTTCCAATCTTCTCTCTTCTTTTTTTTTTTTTTTTTTTTTT